AGCCCTCGCAGCCCCCTCCCCCACTGCTCCTACCGCCTCTCCACCACCAGGTCCGGCTGCTGGGCCCACTGACGCACAGAATGCGTCTTCGCCTCCATCTGCCCAAGTGTAATCCGTGAATCTGCACGATGACTGCGCAGCTACGTGAGGAGACGCGCCTGGTTTTATTTCCATCTGTAACCTGAGGCTGCAGGCGCCCGGATGGCGGCGGGTTGCTGCAGGGCCTGGTCTCCCTTCGGGACTTGGCCTCCTGCAGCTCCGAGAGGGCAGCCCAGCGCTGGGCTGCGGCCCGCCGGCGGGCGGGCCCTGCCCCTCCCGAAGGTGTGTCTGGTGACAGGATCCAACAGGTGAGCTTTGCCTGGGTTCCTGGAAGCCCCCCCCCACACACACACACACACGCACACCTGCTCCAGCCTTCACCTCCCAAACCCTAAGTGATCGTCCTGGGCGTGGCCGCCCGGAGGCCACGAGGGAACGCTGTGACACTCGCCCCAGGCTGGCTTCTGTGGGTTTGCTGTCATCTCCCACCACACAAACTCAGGGACAGACGAAGGGCAACAGACAGGGGAGAGGAGACACGGGCAGAGAGCGGCCAGGGAAAAGGGACGAGAACATGACCGGATTGGAGTCACCTGTCTGCAGGTCATTTCCACCCGTGTCTGTGTCTTCGCTCTGTGTGTCACGCAGCCATGGCCATGGAAGGTGCGGCTGCCTTGAGAGTGGCCTTGCTGAGGGAGGGCTGTGTCTGACCCAGGTCCCCTGGCCGGTCGTCTGGCTCCCCAGGGCCATCAGGCCTGAGCAGGGCACAGAGCCATGGTCAGAGCCGCCTGGCATCTCAGAACAGAGCTGTGTTTTTTGCCAAGTGGCTGGTTAAATTAAGTCCAAGGCTCTGCCAGGCATGTTGTTATGGAAGTTGTTGGTGGAGCGGGTGGAAGACAGCATTCCCCGCTTCCCTCAGGGCGCAGGGAAATCGCCACCCGAGACATTAGCCTAAATGAACAGAAGAGCCTGTGTGGGGGCCATTGGGAGGAGTGGTGGCCTGGGAACGGGTCTGTTCTGCTTTCCCGATGGCACAGTGGCCTGGAGACAATGGCTTGTCCTCAGGACTGCCGTGGCCTCCCGGGGAGCCCCAGGGCCCCCAGAGCCCACCCGCTGCCAACTGCTCTCCGGAGCCCTGCCCGCCAGGCCCCAGCCCTGTCAGCCCTCCTGGGGCCACCCACTGTCCAACCTCATGACTGAGGAGACCTTACCCCTGCAAACCCTGAAACCCAGGGAGGGGGAAGGCCACGCAGCAGCACCTGCAATGTCTGGAAATGTCCTGCAGGGGGCGGCCTAGCCTTTCCCCTGCTAGCTCAAAAGCTTCTAAAAACTTGATTTCACAGGAAACAATAAAAATCTGCGTCGAATAACGCAGGGCAGAGAGCATGGCAGCTCCGGGCACGCCGACCCTATAGTCTTCCTTCCTGTCTCAGAAACAACACACGTCCCCTGCGGACACAGCACAGACGAGTGGCCCACGAAGTGTTTTCTAGAGATTTCCACCTGGGAAGGCGAAGTGCGAAAGGAAACCTCACTGCCCCCAGCTCCTCTGCAGCTTTAGGCGGCGCCGCTAGTGGGGCTCAGTGCGGGCGAAACGAGTTGGATCCCCAGTGCCGAGCCCCTCTCCCGCCCGGTAGAAGCTCCCTTAACAATAATCTGCTAGGTGGTCACTTTCGGTGTCTCGCTTCTTAAAAAAGGAAAAAGAGAAGAGGAGGAGATCTGTGTTTGGGGAAGCTGCGTGGCAGGCCATGTGTGTCCTTGCATCGCCCTCTGCACTGTTCTACACGCACGAAGCACTTTATTATCCAAGCATTTGGCTGGGCACGGAGTTTCCCTGGGGACAGTGACAGTTCTGGAGATGGAGGGGGGATGGTAGCACAACGATGGAATGCACTTAGTCGCACAGAACTGTACCCTTAAAAACGGTGAATTTCCATGTATATTTTACCATAATAAAAAAAACTTGAAATTGGTCCGACTCTGTGCCCTTAAATTTGTATACTATGCTGATGAGACAAAACAAAGGGCCATCTTAGTTGTGTGGTTATCAGAATCCTTCCCACGCCCCGCTCTGATGGGGCACCTTTTGACTGTTGCACGTCTTCCCGGCTCAAGCTTTTTTTTTTTTTTTTTAGATTTGTTCTATTTTTTTAAAATATATTTTATTGCTTTTTCACAGAGAGAAAGGGAGAGGGACAGAGAGTTAGAAACATCGATGAGAGAGAAACATCAATCAGCTGCCTCCTGCACAGCCCCCAC